CCAATCGTCGCTACACCAAAAGGGATTGTAGCACTTTTCTACGGACCAGTGAAACTGGTATTGTTGACCAGGTCATGATTACCTTGAACCAGGAAGGATACAAGTTTTGTAAAATAAGAGTAAGTATAGGACAGGGCTTTTCAACCTTTTCACCCACTGTACCACTCTTAGCATATGGCAATATCCGAGTACCACCAGTTGCCTAGCAAGGTGTCAAAAACTTGATGACCCCCCCCCCCAAAAAGGAAAAAAGTGATGAAGTACAGGTAGTCCTTGACTTACAACAGTTCACTTAGTGACTGTTCAAAGTTACAACGGCACTGAAAAAAGTGCCCCCCAAGCCACAGCCGAGCAAGACACCTGCCTGCCCACCCGGCGGCGCTCTTCCTCCTGTCCGAGGTTTTCATTGTTGTGAGCATTTCTGTTGAGGATTGGCAGTGGGGGTGGGGTGGGGGTGTTTGGTTTTTATTTCCCCCATCTGCTGGGTGGTTGCAGCAGGTTTTGGTCACTTCACATGACCCTGGGACACTGTGACCGTCATAAATATGAATCAGTTGCCAAGCATCTGAATGTAAATCACAAGACCCTGGAGATGCTGCAACATTCCAGCTGATCGGCGCTTCTTCTGGGCTCATCAGAAGTGCCAGGATCAGCGCCGAGCCCAGCTGGAGCCTGGCACTGATCCTGGCGCTTCCACTGAGCCCTGATAGCCCCGAAGAAGCATTGATCCTGGCGCTTCTGCTGAGCCCTGACAGCCCTGCAGCTCCAGCCATCTCTCACTCAGGCTTGTGCGGTGCTGCCACCGATTCAGCTCATTCCCCTCCCCCACTACCACTTTTCTAGGATGGTCGCGTACCACCTGCCAGGTGCCAATGTACCACAGGTGGTACCTGTACCACTGGTTGAAAAGCCCTGGTATAGGAGTCATGCAAATGTGTCTGCAAGAATAAATTCAGCATTTGTGAACAGTTGGTATAATACACTATTATTATTTTTATCTCTCTAGGTACGGTCTGTTCGAATACCACAGATTGGAGACAAATTTGCTAGTAGACATGGTCAGAAAGGTACCTGTGGTATCCAATACAGGCAAGAGGTAAATGCCTCCAATTTTGCTTTTGATGTAGATGCTTAGATGATTGGATTTGAAATAATGTCTTGGTTTTTATATTACTTAGCATATATCAATTGCTTTTTTGAAATCTGTGCTCACATGCAAACAAGCCATTTTAACAATTACATCAATTTTATTACAATCTTTAGCCAGCAAAACATCTTAACAGTAAAATAGCAGAAAACAATGCATTCAAGTCAGTGTGGAAACTTCTTATGTGGGATAAAGTGTTCTGAATCTGCTTCCCCTGAAAAGGATCTATTTGAAATACTGTACCAAGGAGAGCCTTAAGATCAAGGAAAGTTCAAATCTCTGGGAGATTTTAGAGAATTCAAAGGTGGTTTTATGCCAAAACATGGAAAAGATTTTATAATAAGAATAGAATGAGCATATACCATATGTATTCATGTATAAGGCCATCTGCATATAAGCTAACTCTCAAATGTTTAACCAAAATACCATGAAAAATGCACTACCTGTGGATTAGACAACTCACATTTTTTCATGTATTTTGGTTAAAAGTTCAAGGCTCAGCTTATCTGCAGATGGGCATATACAAGTAAGTATGGAAAATAGAAGCAATTTTTAAAAGTATTGCAGGTAGTCCTCATTTAATGGCTGCCTGAAATGCCATCCCATTCACATTTATGGTGATGAAAAAATAACTTTGCAACTAATGCTTGCAGTATCTCAGTCATGTGTTTACCATTAAATCAGTATGTGTCGTCCTGTGCCTGACCCATTTTTTTCCCCATCACCACTTGCAGAGCAGACAGTTTATCTAAATAAACTATCTCTTCCTGCGTTTCTTTTCTCCCCAGTGCAGCATGTTCCTAAAAAATGCTAGGGCACGTTTTGCAGCTGCTCCCTGAAATTGACGAAACATGAATCAATTTCACACTAAGGGCTTTTTTTTTGCTTCCTGGGAAACTGCATTCCTTTTGATGTGTATTCCCTATTATGTGTCTGCTGATTCCCATGTAATCCCTCTCCAATGAAAATAAATACGAACATAAATTCTCTTCCTAATTATCCCAGTGCTGGGATGAGCAATCCAAAGGGTGAGGAATGAGGGAAAGAGGATTTAGCGTTTGTCCTTTTCTATAGCTTCCTTGAGAGTCAAATTCTGGAAACTTTTCCTGCTCTCTGGGCTCACTCAGCTGTTTAGGATTATATCCTGATGTTATAAAGCACGGGTGTCAAACTCGCTATGTCACGTGATGTGTCGTGACGTATCGCAACTCTTTTTCCATTGCCGGCAATGGGGTGGGCATGGCTTCAGTATGATGAAACCGGCCTGCGGGCCGCCAGTTTGACACCCCTGTTACAAAGCAAGCATAAACTGGAGTAAAATCGTAAGCACAGTTCTGATTTAAGGACCGCTTTGCTTAAGGACTGATTTGCCAGTCTCAATTGTGGTTGCTAAACAAGAATTACCTTTGCTCATTGATAAGCTCCTCTGCAGATAAGCCGAATTCATTTTTGTTAAGTGTATAATGGCATTTAAAACTCTCAATTTATCCATGAGAATATACAGTATGGTAGATAGTGGGAAATTCATAATAAACCAAATACCTGACAGAAGGAAGAAGTTGTATAGTTTATTTTGTGACTTACATCATACAAAAAACAAAACAAAACAGCAAGGCTTATAGATTATGCAATCTATGATCAAGAAAAAAAATGGTATGATTCTGATCTGTTTTCATTTTTAGGATATGCCATTTACCTGTGAAGGTATCACTCCTGATATAATTATCAATCCCCACGCTATCCCTTCGCGAATGACCATTGGCCATTTGATTGAATGTCTTCAAGGAAAGGTAAGTCTCGCTGCTTGGAACTGAGATATTCTCCATCAGGCTCTCTTTGAGAGCTTCCAGGGGCATCTCTGACTCTAGCCAGCCAAGGTTGAATCAGCTTGTTTTTAATCTCTTGCAAGCTGAAGCCATTTTATTTTTAAATTAAAAAGCTAACTCTCTGACCCATGGCATTAATCTAGAAGATGCTGGGGAAATATAACCTCTAAATTTGCATAATATGATTTAAAATCCTTTTAATGTTTAGTTTATATGTTTACTCTTTTCCTCCAAGTTACTCAGAGTAAGTACTACATGGTCCCCATTCCTCTGACCTTAGGCTTGCAGAAGCCCGTCAGTTTAAGTAAAGCGACTCAGTGAGCTCTACACTTTAATGGGAGTTAGAATATAATCTTCCCAGTTTCATTTTAGGCAATTATTATGAGGAATATTGAAATAATTGCTAGTCTTTGCTTCCCCTTTTCCAGGTATCAGCAAATAAAGGGGAGATAGGTGATGCTACACCTTTTAATGATGCAGTCAACGTGCAGAAGATTTCAAACTTGCTCTCTGATTATGGCTATCATCTGAGAGGAAATGAGGTAATCCGATACAAGGGCAATGATAAGTCTCATTCTGTCTGCTCCCTGCACTGATATGCTATTATAACAGGAGCAATTACTTTTTGCAGGTTCTGTACAATGGCTTTACCGGCCGCAAAATCACATCACAGATCTTTATTGGCCCCACCTACTATCAGCGACTAAAACACATGGTAGATGATAAAATTCATTCCAGGGCAAGAGGACCTATTCAGATCCTTAACAGGCAACCTATGGAGGGTCGATCTCGGTAAGAAATAGATGCCTGCTGTTATGCTTTCCAGTTTGTCTTTATTTCAGTAAAGGATTGAAGCCATAATCCTTAGAAATCTTACTAGAAAATGCNTTCTCAACCTTGACAATTTTAAGGCATGTGGACTTCAACTCCCAGAATTCCACAGCCAGCATTGCTGGCTGTGGAATTCTGGGAGTTGAAGTCCACATGCCTTAAAATTGTCAAGGTTGAGAAACACTGTTTTAGATACTCCTGCCACTCAAATTTAGATTCTTTAAAGTTATCAGCTCAGGAGAGACATGGTTATATCACCATAATTCTTTTTAGTGAATGACAGCAATTCTCGTTCAGTGGGTTGGCTGAAATACGAGAATGCTCATTTTATTTTCCTCATTGTTCTTTCCTAAATAAATAGGAAAATAAACTATTTATTTACTAGCCTTGTTTGCCCCATTTTCTGCCCATCCTTCATTTTGTTCCTTCTACTTTAGCTTCTCTTCTCAGGACTTCAGTATCTTAACCCTGAGCCACCCTCTTCCTCAACCAGCAGCAGTCCTAACTCTTTGGCATTCGATTATTTATTTCCAAGTGGATCTTTTATCCAAAATTTTCTTAATACAGTTACACTGTATATCTTCCTTGTGCCTCTTCCTTCCTCTTCCTACTTAAAATAACCTCTTTTGTTATTGCAGATATAGTGTATGCGTGGGAGGAATAAATGGTATTTTAATCCACAGGGGACTATTTTAAAATTCATACTTCTAGATTTCCCCATCTTTCACATTGCAGATGATGGAGGTTCTCTGATTCATTCTGACCATTTTAGGGATGCTCAAACTTGCTACAGTTATAAAAGAATTGTAGAATGAATCTTGTCTGGGTGAGGAAAATTAAATTTAGCTGAGGAACTGCAGTGTTCAGAGCATAAATCCTTTAAAAAGAAAAGAAAATTGCACCGTGAAAGAATTTCAGTAAACTTCCACTTGAGAGAATAACTAGATTTTGTTCTCGGTTAAAAATGCCCCTGGTATTCTTTGGTCCTTAAATTAAACTATGCTTAATTACATTAGTAAAATGTGAGTGCTCAAATTATATGTGATAAATGTTGCAAATAAAACTTTTGTAATTATTTATTAAGAAAATTGATATGGCTGCCCAACTCACTCTTGCTGACTCCCTGTCGGTAACATATTCCTCATAGAGCTTATGGCAACAAGATTTAGGTTTTGTATCTTATGAAAAGTCTAAAAATGTCCTTGATTGCATTTCTTGAGGTATTGAATCGTCTCACCTTTGCTTCTACACTTTCCCATTTGCGACGTTTAAACTCACCTATTGGAAGAGATGGTAAACTAGCAAAGCCCAGGCAGTTGCACAACACTTTGTGGGGAATGGTTTGTCCTGCTGAAACTCCAGAGGTAATGCAAAGATTGTATTTAAGTAGCTCTATATCATCAGTGAATGGAATTTTCCCCAAAAATTGGAGCTGTAAGATTTTCCCCATGTGAATTAGGCTACTTTGCATAGGAAAATTAGCCTAATTTTCATAGGAAAAATTGCTGTATAAGTGATGCTTATGAAAAAAATGCATGTGGAAAGTACAGCTTCCGTGAAAGAGGCCTCCCCTTATTATTACCATCTTTTTCTGCAGTATTTAGTAGAGTGTCTTTTCAGATTTTTAAACATCTTCTCAAGTTATAATTGGTTGTTAATAAAACCCAGTAAGTTAGTATGAAGGATTTGTTAACTGAGTTATCTGTGAACAGCGGCAAGCACATTTTTGCTGGCCACAGGGAACATTTATGGAAGAGCTGCAATGAATGTGGTATTAATATAAAATAACTTGAGCTAGGGTGTTCCTTTTCTCCCACCTCTGGGAGAATCCTGCAAGATTTATTTTTTAATTTTTTAAAAGTGTTAGGTTTGTTATTGGGTTTTTGCCACATATTTCCTGTTTGTTTCTACAGTATCTTGAAATAGCAGGAATGTTTTAACAAACCAACTACCAAAATTCAGGGCAATTATTAGAGGGTGTTCCATGAAACCTTAAAAAGGGGTTTCACAGGTTTTGTCTTCCACCAAATGGGCCTCAGAATCCATTCTCATATAATAGTCTTGAGTCTTGTCTTAAATGGTATTATAATTTCAAAAATTGCCAGAACGTGTGTGCATAATAGAGCTTGCTAAGACTGAAGACTAATCCTGTGTTTGTTCTTAGGGTCATGCTGTGGGGCTTGTGAAGAATCTTGCTCTGATGGCCTATATTTCTGTGGGGTCTCAGCCATCCCCAATTCTGGAATTTTTAGAAGAATGGAGTATGGAAAACCTGGAAGAAATCTCCCCAGCAGCAATTGCGGAGTAAGAATCAAGTGCAATGTAATGGAATTCCATTAGCTTCTCTATGGTTCCCTCTAAAGCAGCAGCTTAACTGTTTCCCTTTTTTCCTTAAGTGCCACAAAAATATTTGTGAATGGTTGCTGGGTTGGAATTCACAAAGATCCAGAGCAGCTTATGAATACGCTGAGAAAACTGCGGCGGCAAATGGACATCATAGTGTCAGAGGTAAATTTTGTTGTAATTCCAGCAACCTAGAGATGCAACCTAGACCAAAAAAGATCTGGGGACAGACAATAAAATATGTTGAGCTAGAAAAAAGATTTGCAATTTAAATTCTATATAATTTTGATGAATTAAAAACTCTTGATTATTTCTCCAAAGGCCATGTGTGATTCAGAATGTTCACCTTGACTCTTTACTCAGTTGTTTTTATCTGACATCAGGATTGGTTAATCACCATTAAGCTATAAGAGCACTATTTTCAAACTTGCAAAATGTCAGGCGGGCATCTGAGAACATGGTGTTTTAACACTTTGACCTGTCTGCCAAAAATGGCTAGTTGAAAATTTTTATGAGAACTATGTCTTCTCGTGCAGGTGTCCATGATCAGAGATATCAGGGAACGAGAAATTCGCATTTATACTGATGCTGGTAGGATCTGCCGCCCACTTCTAATTGTGGAAAAACAAAAATTGCTACTGAAGAAGAGGCATATTGACCAATTGAAAGAACGTGAATATAACAACTACAGGTGGGGTTATACTCAAATGTTCTCCTTTTGTGGGATTTAGTACTTGTTTTTCCTCAAAGATGCTTTTCATGGGAAGAGAAGAGAAAATTCCAGGCATGAATTAGAAGGGTCATTAGCCAAAGAAAGTGCATAACCAAACAAGTTCAGCTCTAGAACTAATTGTGTGTGCTAAAATGTTATGTGGAAATGAGCAGGAATTAAAAGAAGTGTTTGTTATTGATGATTTAGACTAAGGTCCAAATCATATAAGAAGTGAATAAAGTCTTCCCTTTTGAGTACAGTTTTCGGAATGAGAAAAGTTTTGTCTGAAACACTTGCTGGGCATTTTCTAGAGTGATTGACTTGCTAGTACAACTCAAGTGCTACTAGGAACAATTCCTATCACTATTTTGGAGAGTTTTCCTCTTGGATGTGGTAGAAAACAGCTATTTGCTGATCTTGTGAAAGGTAGCTCTTTCTGTGTACCTGCTTACATTCCTCCTTGTAATTCCCCTTCATTCATCAAAGTAACAAAGGCATTTTCGAAATCTCCAGAATTACTTGTGCTAATTATGGAAGCTGCAAAAGACGGAATATATGTGAACTTCTGAATGTTACAGCACTTCCCTTTCCTATTTCTTTCCCATGTTGCATTAGAGATTCTCTTTTGACAGCCAGCTAGATAAATGGGTTCATTACAGATTCTTATGTTCAGAGTTGAGTGTGGACAATATTCAGTACACTTTATTTTTAGTGGGTTAGATGGCTAAGACAGCAAGTTTAGAAAGGGGATGAATTCTAAGGAATTAAGACATTGGTTTCTGCAGATATGCATTATGCAAAAACAAAACAAAACCATAAACTAATGAAGGAATGGAGCAAATACCTATTGTACACGAAAGGGCAAAATTATGGGTAATATAGCATGTTATACTTTTAGTTTTTCATTATACTGAATGATATGCATTTTCTTGGAATTGAAATATAAATTGTCAAATTTGTTCTTAGAGCTCTGAATGTAGTTGCATTAATTAAAAAACAAGAAAGCAAGTTGGTTAGATTCAAAAGGGGCGTTCCTAATCCTAATCCTAAAATAACTGAGATATTTTGTTTAGCTGGCAGGATTTGGTGGCCAGTGGTGTAGTAGAATACATTGACACTCTAGAAGAGGAGACTGTTATGCTGGCTATGACTCCAGATGACTTGCAGGAGAAAGGTGTGGCATATTGTTCCACATATACACACTGTGAGATTCACCCTTCCATGATTCTAGGAGTTTGTGCATCTATTATTCCATTTCCAGATCACAATCAGGTTTGTTGGACTTTATTTTATAGTAAATTAAGAGTTTATAACTTGGTAGAATAATATTTTATTATGCGTTTAATTTGAAGGGGTATTTTTTTCATTCCTAACACAATTTCTCTTTTCTTAATAGTCTCCTAGGAATACATACCAATCTGCTATGGGCAAACAAGCCATGGGAGTTTATATCACTAATTTCCATGTCCGTATGGATACACTGGCCCATGTTTTATATTATCCTCAGAAGCCCCTTGTGACCACACGTTCTATGGAATATTTAAGGTTCAGAGAGTTGCCAGCAGGTATGACTGAAAGTTGCTGATTAGTGCAAATATAATACCTTCAAGTATGAAACCTTTACCTTAGAGAAGCAATCCACTTCTTAAAGAGATATGCCAAAGTGTCTTTTTTTTTTTGAGTTACTATAAATATTTGTGTTTCCAAAGTACTAATAATGAGTTTTCTGTGAGATATGGGGCTTTGGGGATTTGATGATTTGATGTTTGTTAATTGATGATTTAGCAATAACAGCTGTGGGATCTCATACTAGTAGTGAGAAGAGGTTTACGTTAGTAAAGAATATAAGTTTTCCCTATACTTTTAATCAATTAGGTTTCTTTAATAGACGGAAAAGCATTAGCACCAGTATGTTTGATCACAAAGGAAAAGCATTACAACTTTGAAATAATTTTTAGCTTGCTCCTTAAATTAGCCCTTCTTTTTTAATATATTTGGCAAAGTATAGTACTTTTTGGCATAAACTGTAGCAAGGCAGAGGTCAAAACAGTAATTATTATTGCTTAAATGCATTCTTTCTATTTCTATATCTTATTCATATCTATCTCAGTTATTACTTGTATTTGGGTGTGCCCGTTCTTGTTACATTTTGCAAAGAAGACACTGTTTGTTTTTCAATTTTAACAAGCATAAAATATTTATAAAAGTTTCAACTATGATCTAATTAGCCAGTTTTAAATTCTTAGAATGTTTATGCTCAAGATGGTCCAGTCTTTGAATATGGATAGCAAATGAGAACAGGGTTTGGAGACAATTCACAAGGATGTGGTTGAAGGAACACGTGAAATTCTAAGCAAACTCCATGCCTGCTCCACACAAAACTATCTGCTGTTGATAACACCAGGCTGGGTGTGTTTATATGCTCTTCCCATCATGCTGTAGAAAACAGCATATAACTAGTGAGAAATTAGAGCTTATTTGGCATTAATCTATAAAGTGAAAAGAATATGTATATAAGATAACTGAAATATTCTTGAATCTCTTAACAGGCATCAACTCTATAGTCGCCATAGCTTCATATACAGGATATAATCAAGAAGACTCTGTTATCATGAACCGCTCTGCTGTTGACAGAGGTTTTTTCAGGTTTGGCTTGTTAAATATTTCACATCTTGCCACATTTCTATTTCCCTGTTAAAAGAAATATTTCGCATGCTTGTAGGAAATAGGCCACTAGCTTTAAAGCATTCTTGGTATGCTTTTTGCAGTGGTCTGTTGTATCAAATATTTCACTTCAGTGGAGTATGTTCTTTGTAGGTGTTAGTCGTCAAGTATTTTGCTTTTCTTTTTTTTGTCAGAAACTCACCTTTTTGCTCCACTTTTAGATTAAAGGTTAGTTGTGGTGGTGGTTTTAGTCCATAGGCTTCCAATCTCTTAACTCCAGTGGATGGTTTGTTAATGTATGTCAACATGTCATCATGTTTTGTCCTGCTGCTCAGCTGAAGAATGTTAGATCATGTCTTAACCTGAACTGAAAAAGTGTTGTCTGACGCGGAGCTGATGGTATTCCTTCTCTCTTCCATTAGATCTGTGTTCTATCGCTCTTATAAAGAACAGGAGTCCAAAAAGGGATATGACCAAGAAGAAGTGTTTGAGAAACCTAGTCGTGAAACATGCCAGGGTAAGAATAGACAGTGACCAGGAATACACCGTGAAGACGGGGACAGTAGATAACTGCTCAGTAATAGAATTTCCTAAGTTTCATATGTTTATGCTATTTGCAAAGAAGAATATGATTTTACAGGGGTTATAAATGAGTTATCCTATCTAACCTGTCATTGTCACTGATGGCAACAGAGTTATTCATATGTACCATTAGTCTAAAAAGCAGAAGTGGATTTTTCTTTCTGAATTCAGAATGGCACTGGAGTAAAAACAAAACCGTATCATCCTTGAAATGTTATCCTATTAGAAAAGGAAACAAGCCGAAGCCCTGATCTGAAAACATGTAATAGTTTCTTCTTTTCTCAGGGATGAGGCATGCCATCTATGACAAGCTGGACGATGATGGCTTGATTGCACCTGGCGTACGCGTCTCAGGAGATGATGTCATCATTGGCAAGACAGTAACTTTGCCGGAGAACGAAGACGAACTGGAAAGCACCAATCGTCGCTACACCAAAAGGGATTGCAGCACTTTTCTACGGACCAGTGAAACTGGTATAGTTGACCAGGTCATGATTACCTTGAACCAGGAAGGATACAAGTTTTGTAAAATAAGAGTAAGTATAGGAGTCATGCAAATGTGTCTGCAAGAATAAATCCAGCATTTGTGAATAGTTGGTATAATACATTATCTTTTTTTTTTTTAATCTCTCCAGGTACGGTCGGTTCGAATACCACAGATTGGAGACAAATTTGCTAGTAGACATGGTCAGAAAGGTACCTGTGGTATCCAATACAGGCAAGAGGTAAATGCCTTCAATTTTGCTTTTGATGTAGAGGGTTTCATGCTTAGATGATTGGATTTGAAATAACGTCTTGGTTCAGGAATTCCTTGGCTCAGGAATTCTGGGAGTTGAAGTCCATGAGTCATAAAAGAGCCAAGGTTGCTTACCCCTGAGCATATATCAATTGCTTTTTTGAAATCTGTGCTCACATGTAATCAAGCCATTTTAACAATTACATCAATTTTATTACAGTCTTTAGCCAGCAAAACAGCTTAACAGTAAAATAGCAGAAAACAATGCATTTAAGTCAGTGTGGGAACTTCTTACGTGGGATGAAGTGTTCTGAATCTGTGCTTCCCCTGAAAAGGACCTATTTGAAATACTGTACCAAGGAGAGCCTTAAAATCGAGGAAAAGTTCATATAAAGGAAGGGACATTGGTTTGAGGTTATTTAGGCCATGTAGGATATTGCTTTTAAACCAGGCCTGACATGTCAATTTATTACGTTTCCTGTTCTATTCAGACTGGATTGCTAAAATCTCTGGGAGATTTTAGAGAATTCAAAGGTGGTTCTATGCTAAAACATGGAAAAGATTTTATAATAAGAATAGAATGAGTATATACCATATGTATTCATGTATAAGGCCATCTACATATAAGCTAACTCTCAAATGTTTATTCGAAATACCATGAAAAATGCACTACCTGTGGATTAGCCAACTCACATTTTTCATGTATTTTGGTTAAAAATTCAAGACTCAGCTTATCTGCAGATGGGCATATACAAGTAAGTATGGAAAATGGAAGCAATTTTAAAAAGTATTGCAGGTAGTTCTCATTTAATGGCTGCCTCAAATGCCACCCATTCACATTTATGGTGATGAAAAAATAACTTTGCAACTAATGCTTGCCAGTATCTCAGTCATGTGTTTACCATTAAATCAGTATGTATTGTCCTATGCCTGACCCATTTTTTTTTTTCCCGTCACCACTTGCAGAGCAGACAGATTATCTAAGTAAACTATTTCTTCCTGGGTTTCTTTTCTCCCCAGTGCAGCATGTCGTTAAAAATGCTAGGGCAGTGATGGCGAACCTTTAAGAGACTGAGTGCCCAAACTGCAACCCAAAACCCACTTACACATCGTCGAGTGCCGGGTGGGTGTGGCCCATTGGCTGGGTGTGGCCAATTGGGTGTGGCTGCGGTGATAACGGCAGACTGGGTGGGACTAAAAAGTTCAATCAATTCCAACTTTGCAAGATCTTTTTTTTCCCCGCGAGAAGTTGATTGATTGAACTTTTTTTTTTTTTGCACATGGCGGCGGAGGCCTAAAGCGAAAAGGTTTTATAAAACCCAGCTGAAGGCCTAGGACTGGGGCGACGGCGCATGTGCCCACAGAGAGGGCTCTTGAGTGCCGCCTCTGGCACCCGTGCCATAGGTTCGCCACTACTGGGCTAGGGCAAGTTTTGCAGCTGCTCCCTGAAATTGACGAAACATGAATTAATTTCACACTAAGGGCTTTTCTTTGCTTCCTGGGAAACTGCATTCCTTTTGATGTGTATTCCCTATTATGTGTCTGCTGATTCCCATGTAATCCCTCTCCAATGAAAGTAAATACGAAGATAAATTCTCTTCCTAATTATCCCAGTGCTGGGATGAGCAATCCAAAGGGTGAGGAATGAGGGAAAGAGGATTTAGCGTTTGCCCTTTCCTATAGCTTCCTTGAGAGTCAAATTCTGGAAACTTTTCCTGCTCTTTGGGCTCACTCAGCTGTTTAGGATTGTATCCTTCTGATGTTATAAAGCACGGGTGTCAAACTCGCCATGTCACGTGATGTGTTGCGACATATCGTGACTCTGCATTGCTGGCAATGGGGTGGGCGTGGCTCCGGTATGATGAAACCAGCCTGTGGGCCGGCAGTTTAACACCCCCATTATAAAGCAAGCGTAAACTGGAGTAAAATCGTAAGCACAGTTCTGATTTAAGGACCGCTTTGCTTAAGGACTGATTTGCCTGCCTCAATTGTGTTTGCTAAACAAGAATTACCTTTGCTCATTGATAAGCCCCTCTGCAGATAAGCCGAATTCATTTTTTGTAAGTGTATAATGGCATTTAAAACTCTCAATTTACCCATGAGTATATACAGTATGGTAGATAGTGGGAAATTCATAATAAATCAAATATCTGACAGAAGAAAGAAGTTGTATAGTTTATTTTGTGACTTACATCACAAAACAGCAAGGCTTATAGATTAAGCAAACTATGATCAAGAAAAAAATGGTATGATTCTGATCTGTTTTCATTTTTAGGATATGCCATTTACCTGTGAAGGTATCACTCCTGATATAATTATCAATCCCCACGCTATCCCTTCGCGAATGACCATTGGCCATTTGATTGAATGTCTTCAAGGAAAGGTAAGTCTCGCTGCTTGGAACTGAGATATTCTTCATCAGGCTCTCTTTGAGAGCTTCCAGGGGCATCTCTGACTCTAGCCAGCCAAGGTTGAATCAGCTTGTTTTTAATCTCTTGCAAGCTGAAGCCATTTTATTTTTAAATTAAAAAGCTAACTCTCTGACCCGTGGCATTAATCTAGAAGATGCTGGGGAAATACAACCTCTAAATTTGCATAATATGATTTCAAATCCTTTTATTGTTTAGTTTATATGTTTACTCTTTTCCTCCAAGTTACTCAGAGTAAGTACTACATAGTCCCCATTCCTCTGACTTTAGGCTTGCAGAAGCCCGTCAGTTTAAGTAAAGCGACTCAGTGAGCTCTACACTTTAATGGGAGTTAGAATATAATCTTCCCAGTTTCATTTTAGGCAATTATTATGAGGAATATTGAAATAATTGCTAGTCTTTGCTTCCCCTTTTCCAGGTATCAGCAAATAAAGGGGAGATAGGTGATGCTACACCTTTTAATGATGCAGTCAACGTGCAGAAGATTTCAAACTTGCTCTCTGATTATGGATATCATCTGAGAGGAAATGAGGTAATCCAATACAAGGGCAATGATAAGTCTCATTCTGTCTGCTCCCTGCACTGATATGCTATTATAACAGGAGCAATTACTTTTTGCAGGTTCTGTACAATGGCTTTACCGGCCGCAAAATCACATCACAGATCTTTATTGGCCCGACCTACTATCAGCGACTAAAACACATGGTAGATGATAAAATTCATTCCAGGGCAAGAGGACCTATTCAGATCCTTAACAGGCAACCTATGGAGGGTCGATCTCGGTAAGAAATAGATGCCTGCTGTTATGCTTTCCAGTTTGTCTTTATTTCAGTAAAGGATTGAAGCCATAATCCTTAGAAATCTTACTAGAAAATGCCATAAGAGCAAAAATGCCAGGAGCCCAAATGGGAGTGTTAAAATATATTGTAGAGAAATATATTGTCTTTTTTTATTTTCCTTGGTCTGTCTTGTATTGACAATGTGCATATGTAGCACTTCTTTTTGTATGTTTTGTTTTTTTAAGACTTCATTTCATTAGCATTTTAGTACATGAGCTGGCTTCTCCTTTAATAGTTTCTTACATTAATTGGGGACAGGAATAATGGGCTGTCCAATTGGTAGTCCTCTAACTTGGGGAAATAAGGAAGTGGACTTGATTTTTCTTCCCACCCCCCCAGCGATGGAGGTCTTCGTTTTGGAGAGATGGAGCGAGACTGTCAGATTGCTCATGGAGCAGCGCAGTTCCTAAGGGAAAGATTGTTTGAAGCCTCAGATCCATATCAGGTTCATGTATGCAACTTGTGTGGGCTGATGGCAATAGCAAACACCCGGACCCACACCTACGAATGCAGGGGTTGTCGTAATAAGACACAGGTAAGTAAAGATGGTAGGAAAATGCTGCCCATTCCATTTCATTATTTTTTTTCTCATTCTTTTACATTTTATCTTTGTCTCACCTTGAGGCACTTTTTCCAATACTTGTCCACTCTGTGTTATCTACCATGAATCCAATATAATCAGGGTCACTGGCTGCAGGAGGGAGAGCATAAAACTGTCCGATGCATTAGAAGAGTTAGGAAAATTTCTGAAATAATGCCAATGAATTTTAAAATGCTGAAAATGCTGTTATCTTACAGTATTACAAAATGTCATTTTATTTTCTTGGCTGTAATAGTCTTTGCTTTTAAAGTGTGTCTTTAATACTTAAACTATGATGATGCCAAACTCCACTTCAAATTGACATGTATATAGGTGTGTGTGTGTGTGTGTGTGTGTGTGTGTGAGAGAGAGAGAGAGAGAGAGAGAGAGAGAGAGGGAGGGAGGGAGGGAGAGGACTCAGATTTCAAGCAATGTTTGGCTGGAGGTCAAGAGCAAGTTCAATGTACACTTCAATGTCCTGGCACCCCTAATACCTCAGTGGTTGCATTATCTTTAAGGTCCTTCCTTACCCAGGTTAGGGGGGGGTTGACATTGAAGAAATTAGCTTTCTTTTCTGTAGCATGCTGTACATAGAAGGCCTTCTTTCAGGTCCAAACCCAGAGCGGACATAATGAAATCCAATCAAGTTCAGTCCTCTATTTGATTACAGTTAACAGACAGAACTTTGCCAAACTAAATGTACAACCTACTAACATGCTAGTTATATCCCAAGAGATTCTACAACGTGGCTACCCTGAACTTTTTATCCCCTCCCCATCTAACTTGGGACTGTGCAGTCTCTTACTCTCTCTGCCTCTCTCTGGGAAAGCTCTGTGTTGCCACTCTCCCGCATTGCTCCTCCAGGTACATACTCCATCACCCCTCTCCAGTGAAGCTTGACCAGTATTAAGCAGTGTCTTTCTAAGTTTTCTCACATCTCCCAACTTGTTCCCAAAGATGTTTTTATCACTGTTACTTTCACAGTCTTTGAAGCCTTTTAAAAATTATTTCATTTGCTGTCTTTATCTGAGCTCCCTAACTCCGTCTATGGGGTTTTTTTTAAAGTAAAGAGATAGAATGTTTCTGGAATGAAAGGTTTTTGCTAACATAGGTCGATCTCATTTTTTTTCAGATTTCTCTGGTGAGAATGCCATATGCCTGCAAACTACTTTTCCAAGAATTGATGTCGATGAGTATTGCACCTCGAATGCTGAGTGTGTAGTCTTCAAACAATTCGCCTGGCTCTTTTCCTGAAATTCATATTAAACTTGCTTTTTAAATGTGTTTTAAATCCCAACAGGTGTGTTTTATTGGAAGTTTTTCCCCCAGATTATGAATGTGTGAATTTTATGTTTTATGTAAATAGAAATAAAGTCTTTCCAGACATTTACTTAATACTTTATTGGAATTACAGTGAAAATAGGGACTACAAGAGCCATGGCTGGTTGTGAGTTGTCCAAAAAATAAACTTGTTATAGATGAAAGGCACTGTCTCTCAATATGCAGTATATATGGTTCACCTTTTACAGTTCAGTACTTTCACCTACAGAGAAAATGAAAGTATGCTTTAATTTAAGAAAACATGTTATTCTTGAGATGCATTCCAGAGAAATGAGTTGCTATAGAAATAATCAAAGGTATTTCCTTGAAGCAAGAAAAAGAGCAGAAACAGATAACAATTACTTCTTCCTACACAGTTATTTCATATTCATTTAAAACCATAGATAACAAGCAAGCAAACTTTATTCTGTATTTGATTTTTTCCCCAGAGGCTGCTGGTAGGGGACATAAAAGGGATTCAGTGATACCACCAGATGGAGCAAAAATTTCATTGGGGAGATGGTTTACAATAATAAATATATTAAGCGAATTGAAGCCTACAAAGATGTGAAACACTTATTTTGGTCACAAAGCATGACAAAATATGCTACCAATTAATAACCCAAGCCATTTGATTTTTCTTAATCAGATCCAATAGAAGGGAGTGCTTAAGCAGACCTACATACCTTTTCCAGGTATTTCGTTTAAGGAATTTACCACAGTAATTTTTCCAGAAGCTGTGGCTTCTCCTTTAGAGTTAGATGCGTGACATTCATATTCTCCAGCATCATCTTTGCTCAGTGGAGATATCTATTGGAGTAGAAGTCATAGTTAATTGTCAAGGTTGTTGACAATATCCTTGTATCATACATGCTATGGCCTTCAGTGTTTTTTAAATAAACTTGTTAGCGATAGCGATAGCACTTAGACTTATATATTGTTTCATAGTGCTATACAGCTCTCTCTAAGTGATTTACAGAGTCAGCATATTACCCCCAACAATCTGGGTCCTCATTTTACTGACCTCGGAAGGATGGAAGGCTGAGTCAACCTTGAGCCAGTCAGAATCAAACTCCTAGCAGTGAGTTAGCCTGCAATATTGCATTCTAACCACTGCACCCCCATGGCTCTGTTATGTCTCCATCATGTACTAATTCCAAAAGGAATAAGAACAGCTTCAGCAATTGCTGCTATCAGTGGAAAGCATTTGAGAGTAAAGACTACAGTATTATCAGATGCTAAGAGCTCAGCCTTATATTTACTGATCTCTCCCTGTCCCAGCTGTCTTATATGGAGTGGGGAGAAGACAGACATGGTGGACCCTCTACAAACAGATAAGCAGCTCTGAACACCATTTTCATGGAGAAGTTCTCATAGAATTGAGAGTGGCAGGGATTTCTTGTCTTGATGGATGTTTCTAATATTGCATCTCTCTCTTATGCTGTTAGCTGGAAGGTACATAGAGATAGACATGGAAGTATATATATGAATGTATGTTTGCTTGGATTCTAACAGTCTATATTCACAGTTTGATTTTGACTATGGCAGTCCACTGTAATATACAATAACAAGTCCCTTTGCGCAGCTTGATTTAGTAAGCCCCAAAATGAAATTCCTGTAGGACACACAACTGGTGAATATCAGAAAACAAACACTCTGGGCCTTACCCAAACAATCTTAGCATATATTTTCGGATGGAGAAATGGGATTAAGTGTCCTTGTGGAAAAAGAAATTTCTTATGATAAGAAGTGCAGACTAGCAGATACAATGATTTGATCTTCATGTGGTAAGTACTTTTCAACCATTCTACCTCTGCATTTTGTAGTGGATTTGGTATAAGGGACAAATGGCATGGGACAAAGCTACCTCGTTTTACAAAACATGCTGAACATACTTGGATTTCGCATTTTGCTTTGGAAGATATTAAGTCAATAGTCCTTCCCTGATCAATTAAGGATAATAATGAAGCACTTTGTGTGTGCGCACGCGTGGATGTGAGAGAAATTGAAAAGAAATGTGGCATATAATTGAATAAATTAACTGACAGTAGTAAAAGGAAGCACTTCATTATATTTCTTAAAGTTTCCATATATTTCATAACTTTCCTAATTGTTATAACATATTTTGATAGATGGTACCTGCCTCCCTGTTTGCATTTGTTCTATCCTTGGATCTGAGGTCTACATCTGGATGTAATACTGTCAGCATATAGATGCAGGCCTCCACTTCACTAAACTTGCATACAAATTGGACAGTTGATGGCATAGCCATAATACATTATATACTAGTCCCTAGGTGAAAGCTAATCATTCAACCAAGAAAGCCAAAATTTCATTTGCCAACATTCTTCTCAACCAACCTTCAAGAAGAAAAAAAACTATTTCTCTGCTTGCTGCAAAATTCTCAAAATAACAATTTAACTTGAAAGGGAATTTTACTTACCAATACCCACCCTGTCACCTCATGCTTTTCAGGACCACCACGAGTCTGAACAGCTAAATTGTCTCGGTCTCCTGGAAGAAGTTCCACTCTTTGGACACTATATTGCCCCCTTGTTATCTATATATGAGAAGAAAGGATGGGCATCGGGTGTCCAGCCTTGGTGACATGACTTGTGGACTTCAACTCCTAGAATTCCTCAGCCAGCCATGCTGAGGAATTAAGTCATAAGTCTTAAAGTTGCCAAGGTTGGATATCCCTGATGGGAGTAAAGACTTGGAAAGGTGGGTGGGTAGAGCTTTGTACTAGCGAGGATTGCACTTGAATATTTAATATACCATATAGTTAAAACATTTCAGATTTTCTATACTGAATAAATTCGTTAAGAGCACAAATTATTTTCAGGAGACCCAATGGGTTTTAGACTAGATTAGTATTTCTTTTAAAAGCAACTTTTTCTGAGTTATACAATGAACTGCATTTTTTAAAAATATGAATTGCTTTTATGATATTGTAGGGAGAGTTGCTAGTTGCCCAAAGAGAAAGTAACCAGTGTGACTAATGAAAAACAGCCATGGGGATATAAACAATTATCTGCTAGTTTTGTGTTTTCATTACGGAGGAGGAGATGCACATTTTATTGCCTAGGCCCTAGATAATACTTTATCGCCCAGGCATTAGAAATTCATTCCTTCACTGGGCAAGTAAGAGAACGAGTGAGTTCAAGAATTCAAATCAAAACAGCCTTTTCTTTCCTTATGTTTTTATCACTGTGGTTAGCTGCCCAGAATTGTAGAAATCTTTTAAATAATGTAAAAATATTAAAAACATATAAATTCCCCTTGAGCATGGCCAACAAGCATTTTTCATGCTTTTCCCTTCTGACAAAAAGCTTATCAATCAGAACGTTGGAATACTGAAATGAGTACAGTATTTGTGATCGGTAGTTTAATTGGTATCACTCTATCTCCTTTAGTTAGAAAGGTCAAACAAGGCAATAATTTAGAAGTACTAAGAGCTAGAAGTGAGCCCTGATGCTCCACAATTGGTTGGTCAAACAGAGGGCAGCTAGGCAAGTTCTGACCTGGTTTGTGCTTGGATGGGAGACCACGAAGGAATACTAAATTGGAAGGAGAGATCAAAACCTATTTCTATATTCTTGCCAAAAATAGGCAAGAATGTTCCCCTGCAATCAATCAGCTGGAGGCCAACTCTATTAAGCATGGTAGACAAACTACTGGAGAGAATTGTGGGAACTGCTGTAAGGGATCACAAATCAAATACAATCACTTCTTTGTGGATATCTGAGTAACTTAACATTTTCTTTTAACCTTCTCTTTGGCCAAAGAGAGTGATTTATAAATAGCAGTTTTAATATGGTTCCTGACACATATTAGTAAAAGAAAAGATTGCATTGGATAGAGGGATGGAAAAATGGAAAGAAGCAAACATAGGCACCAGTTCCTAAAATTATAGTCAAAATAGGCTAGGTTGCTCCTTCTAATAATTGAGGAAGAACCAAATATAGTTGGCTTCTGGACAGAAGAGATGAAATAATCCTGCTTTTCTTATCTCTGTAATTCTCTTGCTTCTCTCTGGTACATGTCTTGGAAAATAGCCCCATTGTAAGAGTTACCATCTGAAATCCTATTTTTGTAACCACACTATTATGTCTTCTAATTAACAGCTCAGCCTCCATTCAATCCTCCCATTATTGCCTTGTGTTTCAATCTGCATCTGAAATATTGTACACCCATGATGTCATATCTAAAACCATCTATTCGTCTTTCTCTCTCATTTTTTCTCACTCTCAACCCTGCCTGACACTGCAGTGAATTTGGAAACTTATAAAATGAAAAAAAGGAAGAAACCTAGAAACATAATAGTTCCTAGATACTGTAGATGGCAATTGCCCAGAAGGAAAACAATAAATGCTTTATTTCTCATGCCACATCCAACTGAAAGGGCCCAACCCTCATCCCTGGGGTAAGAGCCAGGTTTTCAAGGCCTATTTAAAGGCAAGTATGGCAAGGGCGGTTTGAATTTGGAAAGAAAGAACACACTTTCTGGGTCCTGCTCACTTTAAATTCATGTCAAATGCTGAGAAATCAGATGGTAACTTAGGCCTCTCCATAGTAAAATTTTGGTTATCTGGAGCCCTCTAGGACTCCTTTGCTTTCTTCTTATTCTGAAAATAGTTATTTTACTGCTTTATAACCTGCATCTTGTGCAGTACTTCAAAGTAATTATCTTTAACATATATTAATTTTATTCATCTCATAATACAGAGATGAATTAATTTCTATATTAAGAGATCTTACTTTATTTTATCCCCATCACAACCTTATGAGGGAGGTAAGGTGAAAAAAAATGACTGGCCAATATCCCAGCCTGTGAGCTTCCATGGCTGAGATTGGACCTAAACCTAGCTAAAGACTTAAGCAAGGGGTTGCTGGATTTTAGCCCAGGCCCATATAGTCCAGCAGTCTTTTCTCACAGGGGCCAGCCA